TTTTAAACATTCCATTGAATTTAATAAAAAAAACAAGTAAATTCCATGCGGACGAATAAAGGGGGTTATAACTAATATATAATAAAATAATCTGTATATCTAATAAAAAAATTATAGATCGCTCCCTGTGCAATGAACATATATGTCAGGAACTGTATATGGGGAATATAGTGAATATATCCAAAACAATTACTGTTAAAATGTTTATCTGTGCATTTGTGTGTAATATACACTTGCCATATAACGCCAGCCACAACTAAGCAAATATTGCATCATCTGCTTTTTGTATATATAGTTTACATTACCTAGAAATACACTCGGATCATGGGTACATAGATCATAGATCTTATAAAGTGGTATAACGAGACATAATAATTAATTTAAAGATTTTTATTCAAAACAAAGTAAGGCAGCGTTTTAAACTGCAACATACGTAAGTGATAATCTCTTTTCTTTATATATTTTCAGATACATGTTACTTATTTATAGACAAAAAAACACATAATATTTGCTACAGAATCCTCATTAAACATAGAGAACATTCAAAGGCCATTCTATCTCTACGGTTTTACGTAGACACAGAATGCCCGTTTGAGGCAAAGATAATACGTTTGTTCCATTGGCCCAAGTGTTCATATCACGAGATTGCAGGCTCGACCGACAGCTCGCCGCGAGCGCCCAACAGATGCTCTAATTCATAGCACAGACTAATAACTGGGTAGATGAATTGAAATAAACTAAAAAATCGATATTAATTAATTTATTAAATGTGAAATGTATCTATCGACTGAATGTATTTGAATGAAATTTGACATGAAGATACATAGAATTAAGATCGTCCTCTTAATTCTAGCACAGGGTAGGTACCCTTAAAAAGGTTTTTATTACAAAAAAAATATGACTATTACTAATACAAGTATAACTAGTATATTTATATATTTAAAAAGGGATATGTCAAGTCAACCTTATCCTATTTTTTTCCTCCGGTGATAGCGACTAGCGATGCTGCCATTATTGCAACCATTCCGTATTTGAGATTCCTCGTTACAAATTCAATTTCCATTCGTTGTTATAATATATGTATAGGTCAATACCTTGTATCTCCCTACTGAAACTTGGATTTCCTAATTAAAGATCTACATTATTTAAATTATAAAATAAAAATACAAAACTCGCGTACCCGCAATACAAATACAATAATACCTATCAAAAACTATGCAAAGTAGATAAAGTTGCATTTTAGTTAAATTGTAATTTTGAATTTATTAACATTTACTTAATTTCGAATTTACACATTTCATTAAAACTTTATAGCATTGTAGAATATTTTAGTATAATTTTCAATGAACTAGTCTAAAACTTAAATCGCGTAACATATAACTGTTATATTAACAAAGTAGACGAACTTTATAGACAATATGATATACTTATATATAAAATATATGAGATAATACATAGTATCGTCTTCAGGCCTCTAATAAACTAAGTTTAATGCCGTTACTAAGGATAACTGAATAACTACTGGTCGGATCTTAGTGAAGTTTGTATGGAGCAACATGAAAATTACTTTTAGGTTTGAAATAAAAAAATAATCATTACCCATAAAAAATACTGTCGAATTGAGAACCTTCCGCGTATTTTGAAACTGGTAAAATAATGAAGAGATTACACATTGGTACTATAACAAGTAATGAGTATGTAAGAATTCAAGTTTTTTTTTAGAAATTAGTAGACATTTGCTCTAACACTGATATAACAATGTAGTCTGTGTGCTGACCGTCACTCTGGCTGGAAGTGCAATAATGGCGTCTACAGGGACTCTACATTGCCAGCATGTGAAGTAAATGCTATGAAATTGGATAAATCTACCTATTATTTGTAGCCAACTGGTATTCCGGATATAACGAATACATATTTTTTTCTATTTGTATGATTAGAACATCAAAATAGTACTGTTAATATATTTTCTTCTTAAATTACATTATTTCTTGTTTATAATTTATTTTTTACACAATATAGGATGAACAGGAAAAGTAGTAGTAGAATAAATTCACAAAATATAAGGTAATCTCAGTAACCTTATTTCACCAAATAGTGAAGAAGTATCAATGGAAATTTAGGTTTAATTGCTTATATCATTCTACTCAGTAAGGGTTATATGATCCAAATAAATGCATTTTTATATATTCATTACAATTGGTTGCAAGCGTTACACAATATAAAATATAACATTAATTATTTACAAATTTTACAGTATCTTAATTAATATTAAAATAGATATATCTATAAAACTGAAAAATTTGGACAATAAATAAAAATATTGTTTTCCATAAAAACTAAGTTATATTTACTTGGTGGTTTTTCATTATATAAAATATGTTAGAACTAGTATAACATTCAACAGAATAAATTTAATAAAAACATAATATATAAAAATATAACTACCAAACACAAAACACGATAACTTACATTTCCAATGAAGCTGATAAAATATATTTATTAAGATAAGATTGATTTCGTACTTACTCGGAAATATTCACCCCATTATGCAATAAATTGAGCCGTTCAGACCTCACGCCAAATAAAAGGGGTAGATCTATTGTCCAGTCCACCGGTTCATACATTGACATGACATATGGAAAAACAATATTATTGTATGATTGTGTTGTTAATTAACGCCTATACATTTCGTTAATGAAAGAACAAATTGAGTTTTGTTACAATCGCCATTGTGTTTTCTATCATCAAAAGAATTATAATTCTTTATTTATATGTATAGCTTATATGAAATTTTGAAAAGATAGACGTATTTATTGTTACCCAAATGTACATAAATGTACCTGTACTGATCTCATTTTAAAAAAAATTGCCAGAAAAATGTATTTTACTCTACTTCTTCTTAAATCATCCATTGCGTAATAATACTACATGCATTATTAGAAGTAATTATGAAATATTAGCACTTCTTAGAAAATATCATTTTTTAATCAATCACATGTATGAGCGGATAAAAGTATATAAATATATGAAGAAATACTGTATCTTAGAATCTGGGATCTACTTAATCCGTGTATCATATTTCATTGTAGAGCAACCTAAGACGTGTTTATCTTGGACATAACTAATACTTTTATTCTACTACTTAAGTAGTAAAAACGGGCAGTAACGTAGGATATATATCCGCTAATCCTTGCTAATACTACAAATGTGAATGCAAGTCTATCTTTTTTCTTACAGTTTAACTACTAAACAGCTGAACACTCTCAATAAATGATGTGGAGATATATTATATAACAAAGGATATAGACTATTTTTATTTCAAAACCAGACGAAGTTGCTGGTCACCCTTATCATTAAGGGGTATAAAAAATAGATGTCGGCCCATTCTTAGTCCTACCGTTTCGGAGAAGTTTGGTAACAAACACCGCGAATTTTATTTATTAGATTATAATAATATATAATACGATAAAATAAAATCAAAATAAGTTTATTCATTTACTTAATAATGACAATTATGATAAGTCAAGTCTACCACAAACTACAATGCTTAATACTATATTTTTTCATTGCACTCACTAGTTATTAGTACACAGTGATTATTAGAAAATAGATTAGTTTATTCGAATTATTTATATTTTATACTTAAATAACATTTTGGCAGCCCCAGTGACTACTAGACTTAGCGATTTAGCACACCGCGGGTTCGATTCCTCACTGATTGCTTACATTTGTATTTAAGAGTATGATTGTTTGTAATGGTCTGGGTATTTTATATGTATATTATATATATCTATAATATACATAATCTAAGTATTTATATCAGTTGTCTAGTACCCAGAAACAAGCTCCGCTTACCGTGGGACTAGATGGCACTGTGTTAATTGTCCAGCGTTATTTATTAATTTCATAATAAATATGTGAAAGTACATCGTGAACCAAATATTTCATTCGCTATTTTGTGTTTCAAACTGTGATTGAAACGAGAGGAAATGAATCGATGATCGATAGCCATATTAATAAAACGCTTTTCATCTGCATTTCATTGATTCTGTTGCATTTCATCGTAATCATATTCTGATTTAATTAAATCCGAACGATGCGAGCGATGGCTCCATTTGAATACTTCACCAACTACACGGATATTAAACTCCATACCAAAAATATCATTCTCGAAGTAGGAGTATATTCGTCCATAACAGGAAAATAATAGGACGAAGCAACAGTTCAGTAATTCATTATAAACTTTTTTCATTAATTTATATGTGCTTCTGATTGCATTGTCCATTAATATCATTTATTTTCACTGAGATCAGATGAAAGAAAGTAGTTTCTCTCTAATAAATTATAAATACAATATACATACATATATACATATAATAATTACGTTTACAAAGAAAATTTAATTACTTACATTTCATTACCACTTATAATTAAATTTATGCAAAATTTTGAATAAAATGTAAATTTAGATACCTTCGCTTTAGAGTAATAAGAGGCATTTTCGACTGACGACATCGTCCTGAATTCAATACTTGACATACACACATTTCGCTCTTTGTATTTGAATTCAACGCGGCAATGTTAAAGTTGGTTTGTTCACGATGTTTTCATCACCGAAATGTAAATGTATTTCTGATATACCACAAAAAATGTAATAGTACAGTGTACCGCATCTTATGCAGTGTTGATTTCCTAAAAATAGTAGGCATTGGCAGAGATTATTATAAATAAGGAAACAGCTGCTGGGATGCCCTGACTCCTGTCAATTTTGCACAGAAGTGTATACTTATCTCTAAAATCTTACATCAACTTACATTGCGACTTATAAATAATGTGATACAGTTTAATTTGCTTTAATATTATCTTAGCAAACGAATGCGTCATGTACGCGAGGATAAATCACGTCTTCTTATCAGTGGATTTCAAAACATACAAGCTGATATGAGGGGAATAACTAAACTTAAACATTTGCTGGGATAAATGGAACCCCCTTTAGGTTGCATATAAATATACATGAAATTAGAAGTTAAGCATCAGTCAACTGTCGACTCTTCAGTATCTCGGCAATCGCCACACGTGGTAAGGAAATTATTATAATTCATTAATTTAAAATAATAAAAATATATCATTATTTATATAAATGATATTATATTTTCTTCAATTCTTTATTATAATTATTATGTGTATTAACTATTTTCTTATTTATCTATACTATTTACGTATATTATTATATAACTATTTACGTATATTACATCCATGTTATCTCACTCTACCTCCTTATCGATGGCCCAATTATTATCTCTGAATAATGACTTTTATTTTTAGAATATACAACTTCTAAATGTAAATAATTGTGTCAAGGGTTGCGTACATCACATCTAATTTTGACAAGACTACCCTATATGGGTAGCAGTCGTAAATATATACTAGATTTTATAAATTACGACGAGGTTGTACTTAATTGTATGGTTTGCACTCGCAGTGTCTTGATGGATTTTCCCGGAACTTCCATTAGGCAGTGACACTATTGATCGTAATGCGGTGAACCTAAATGTCCAATACTTTTGCAAAGTAAAGCTTCAGTCAAAAACTATTAGGTATAAGAATATTAGAAGATTTTGTTTCCTTTTTATTTACGGAATTAAATGGTATAACTTGCCACGTGCTAACGAACATCCAATGCATCCCGCATGAAAAATAGAATAAAAGTCTCATTTTATATAAAAATACTGGTAGTTATGTTCAAGGACTAAATTTATTATTCAAATTCACATATATGTTACATACATATTTTTATTTATTTAACTTCAATGCACAAAAACAATGTGTACATATGGCGGACTGTATGTACATATACTCAGATGTGTATATCTAACTTGAAGGTATCTAAATCTCATAAATAATCATCAAAATAGAACCACTTTGTAAAAAGTAATACGTTACATGTGTCTAAAAAGTAATATATTTTTTCCAGCTTCAGTCACAATGCAGTCACTATATATTATCGCCAGCGTACTTGCTGTAGTTGCAGGACAGGAATACGATATACATCCACAAATGCTTGAAGAGAGGTATTTTATTTAAATTGTTCATGTAGGGACTGGTCATCGTTAGTTTTTGTTTACATCAATACTATAACGCATTTTAACACTCTATTCCTGTATTTTAATTGTAAGTGCGTATTTAAATAACGGTAGGATGTATAAAAAGAAAAGCAAGACAATCTGTGATCGCCAGTCCATAAGCCATTTTTTATACTACACCTAAAAAAGAGTCATATATATAAGGGTTATGATTTCAGTTCTCATATTGGAGTAGGTACTCGATATACTTATAAATAATTTTATAATAATTATAACAAACTGTATCACAAGATACATTGTGATGCTACGTACAATGGGTGCTACCCATAAAATATTCATAAAATGCCATTCCAAGACTTATATTACGGAAGTAGATATAACATCCACTTCCGTACCTTGCAATTTTACCTTAGCTCTATAAACGGAAACACAGCTTGCAAAGCCACATACAGGAGGGCAGATGAATTATGTGATATAGATTATTTTGTAGAAAGTTTCCTTATATATAAAAATCTACATTAAAAAAGCCATCAAATTATACTATTACAATGTTTAAATAAATAAACATATACTATTAAATAAACTATACAGATATCCCGAATGGTACGTCAGTAGTGAATATGCACACCCAAGACATCAGAGAGATGTATCCGTAGATAAAAACACTGGAGACCTAACCTTGGACCACAAAACCTCACCCGACGGTCGTGTATTCGGAACTATTGGTTCTAGAGATGAAGCCTTATTTGTAAGTATATACAAATATTGTTACTTAAAATTCGTAAAAATATAATTCACAAGAAGTCAACATAATCGCTGTAGAGTTGAACTAATAAGAACAAATTCATTTAGACTCTTCTTATTGAAACCTAAAATTATACGTTGTATCTTCATTTAGAATATTTCACTTATTTGTAATTATAAAAGAGAGTTTAACCTACTAGACTAATATTTGCGACTTATTCGGCGACTTTTTATTTTAAACCGTAGCCAAGTCTGTTATCTCAATATGAACTAAGAAAACATATACCAATTTCTATGTTTTGAAATTAATGTTAACTAGACATTTATATCAATACATAGAAATTAGTATATATTTTCTTAGTTTATAAAAAATGCCTATAAAATCTGTCCAATCATTTCCGTGGAAAAATACATCAATCCAAAAATATTTTATTTGAATTGCTTATTTTAGTTTAATTGGTTCATTTTCTCTAAAAAATGTCTAGTATTATGATTATTACTGTTTATTTCTAATTTGTAAAGATCTAGATTACTAAATAATTAAAGATTTCGATTCATAGGGTAAAGCAGGTTACCAACATAATGTCTTCAACGACCACCGTGGTAAACTTGACGCAACAGCTTACGGATCACGTGTGTTGAGCCCTTACGGTGATTCAAGCCATCAAGGAGGCCGTTTAGATTATAAAAACAACCACGCTGCTGGCTCCCTCGACGTAAGCAGGCAAATCGGAGGACATACTGCGGTGAGTGTCTAAAATCTGGTAGATCTATCCTTTCATATATATTGTCATTTCAATATTAAATTTTGGAAAATATAATTTTGAAGACGATAAATTTTCTTAAAAATTACTTTAAGTGCATTTAATATCATGTTCAATAGTTTCTTTCGATTAAAAACTATAATTAAACTGTTGAAGATATTATTAATTATTTGATTGCTAGTGATTCCAGGAAAAAATATTATCATAAAAATATTCTCAAAGTCCAATTAATCCGCAGTAAATACTCCTATATAGATACTATGAAAATTAGATCTATCCTATTTTTTTAAATTCAAATACTTTAAGTAACATTTAGAACTAAGTATTGTATTATGGCAGTATCAAAAACCTAGTGTAGAATTAATACCGTACATTACCATCATTTCAATCTGTAACTATTGTTACTATAGAGCTCTGCTCTCTGTTTTTCTCTGTCTTTCTCTCTTTTAAGTAGGCCTTCAAATGCCTTCCACCATATGTCTAATTTGTTGCTTCATTTTGTATTAACATAACTTTGCATGAATTATAACGTAACTATTAATGTATAGGTTGACGCCGCCGCTGGTGGCAGTTGGCCCATTGGCAGAAATGGAGACTTTACAATGCAAGGTACCTACAGTCGTTTCGGACCCATACAAGACTATGGCGCGAGAGCTGGTCTGAACTACCGCTGGTGAAAAGCTGATCAGAAGCTACTTAATCTTTGTTAATATTCTAAATAGTATGTTGTATATATGTGTAAATATCACTTTTATTGTATAATTCGTCTTTATTCAACATTGTGTACTTAAAAATATATAAATAAAACTTTACAATTAATATAAATACAATGTCTTATTTCTTATTCTCTGTATACATAACATTTAACTAACGCTTTTGCTGCTAAATTTCAAGATTTTAGTAATACTTGCAGTTGTTAAAATTCTTAAAAAATCGGCGCAGCCTATCAGATGCAATTGTCTAACCATCCAGGAATACATTAAAATACAAATAAAAATTCAGGTGTTAGAAAACAGGACCAAACAATCTGTTTTATACCAGATTATTAAATTCTATGCCAACAACATGTCTATACGTATATGTATATATGTCTCCTAGATAAGAAAACAACTCATTATAATTAGCCTTTCGTTCATTTACATATAAATGCATTCACCGATGCATTAAGACAAAGAGCCCGTATAGAAAATGTTCAATCTATAACAATAAATTTATTTTTATTGCACTTGACTATGACACTTTCGATGGGTTAGTTCGTTAAAAAATAATATCTCATAATGCCATGCTTTTCACTTAATTACAATCATTATAATACCCTATGCAATCAATGATTCCCATAATAATAAAAGACCTTCGTATGGTTTAGTAGAAAAAGATGTCTCAAATTATAATTTCAAATCATTATTGATGAGGTATACTAATTTCAATATGTATTACATAATATTGATTTATATTTTAATCATATACTGACTAATAAATAAAACATCTCTTTATTACATACGATACAATACGATTTTTATTTACTTCTGTAACATATGTACAACGTGTACAAAGTAAAATGTATCTACATATGTATATTTTTTTAATAATCTATTAAGGACACGATTCATTTCTGATTTTATAATTAATTACATTTATAACAATATTTAGTCCCAGAATGTAGTTTCATTTAATTCATGTATTTATAATATTAATCATATTTTACATTTTAATTTAAATTACTCCATTACTTAAAACCTATTTATTCAGGCAAATCGATTAGAGCTAAATATAACTCTATTATATTTATTAAACGGGACTAATAAATTAATATTTATGAGTCTGTATCAGCCAAAATGAAATAACTGATTTAGAGAACAGTAAAATTGTTAGCATAAGTTTGTGAAAATATAACATAAGTTTGTGAGTATTGTCTAGGCCTTAGATTCCCACGCCCACATTAACAGTTCGTTTGTGAGCTTTTTTCACTGCATTAATTAGCAAAGCGGTATAAAATTATTAACTCTGCGAGTTCAGTACCAGTGTTTCTGATAGTTACTGTATATTACTAATTGATATACGCGATTTCGTCTGCTTTTTGTTTTTGAGATAAATGGTAGCCCCTGAGATATGATCTATCTTCCTGTCAACATCCGTTCAGCTGTTTAATCGTGAAATGTTATCAAACAGACAGACAGCATTTCAATGTATAATATAACTGTACCTGTTTAAAAGTCCTAATTATTATGAGAGTCAGGACTATTATACAAATAATATGATTTTTTGTGATATAAAAGATAGGTAATCCTCCATTCTCGTGATACCTACACTTTAACGTCATGCTAAATTTCTTAAGTTTCGTTCAGCCACTTAGTCTTATAACTTATAACATACTGACAGACAGACAGCCACACTTTCCAATTCATATTAAGTATGTATATCACTTAATAATATAGCTGTATTTGAAACTTTTATCAATATAGAATAAATTCAGTTTGGTACACAAATTAATAAAATAACATGCAAACTAAGTACTGAATTAATGCAAAAACAAAAAACTAAGGCTCGCAGGCGACGGCGAGGTTTAGAACTCTAAAAAATTTAAATATTTTAAAATTATTTCCTTGGAGAAATGAAAGATGACTTATTCGCAAATTACATAGCCTGTGCTCAGAACAGCAATCACTAAATATTTGTTCATAGGAGAAAAATATGTAGTTTCTGGAATTTTTAAGATATTGATTGTTACAGTCATACTGTATATTATCCATTAATGTATATTAACTAATTGTGTACCTACTTGCAAAATATTATTATGCCTACTCGTATAAAGAGGAATATAGTAGATATTTTTTTTATTGATTGAGTGCTTCTAGTCCACTAAATATTTATAAATATATTACAATTACGTATCTTCAATGATTGATAAATTCAATAAATTTAACAATTATTTAAATTGAATTTGACAATTATTTATTTTAATAATAAAATAAAGTTAACGTTAACATTGATTAAGTACAAAATTGAAATTAAAAAAAATTAAGATAAAAGACAAGATTAGTTTCTATGCCATTTAATAGATAAAAATTAATTTCAAGCATTTTACACTTATTTAAAAAAATATTAATTAAGTAATAATTGCAATTCACTAAGACAACACTATGCAACCTACCACTAATACTGAATTATAGCCAGACAAGAGCAATCCAACAAAAGCAATAGACAGAGCTTTGTGAATATTCAAACTCTGACTGGAATGTGTATCGCGTATTTGAGGTCGACCCAAAACTATGCGCTAACGATAATAATTGGTCGAGATGCCAAGTCAATGCCTATGGGTTAATAGGTACTAATACTAATCTCGTTAGTATATAATGCATAAATAGTATATAATAAGAACTAAGCGTCTCACCTTTCAAATGAAATCAAGTTAAAAATCATTTATTTCTGTAGGACATTTTAGCCGATTATGATTGCAATTTTTTTTATAATAGATTCAATAGAGAAGAACTGGCATGAAACTCAACTTTATTTGTCGTGTAAATTATTAGCAAGCCATAAAATTTCATAAAACTAAACAACTTTGATCATAGGTAGTGTCTTCTCATTACTCTTTCCGTTCTGGATGTAATCCCATCACCCGAAGATATACAATGTCAGGGACATCGGGACCCTGTTTTAATTATGTTAGTCGTGTCGTTAGTATGAACCACATGTCTGTGGTCTGGCCATGATTGTTTATAAACTGTTGAGCAAACACGTGGCACGTAAAAAACGACTGGGAACGGATTTTGTATTATAATTCTTTAATAAAAACAGTATAAGTTTTTTTATGCTATTGGAAATTGCAAACAAGATGACGGTTTACCTGGTGGGAAGTGGTTATAACCAACGCTATATAATTGGATATCACAGAATATATTTTCAGATTATGCTGTAATGTCTAAGCTAACTTTTACTCGTGGGGAAGGATAATAGTAATGGGAAAATCAAATGAAGGGTAACGTAAGATACGTTACTATTAATAAGATTGACATATATGTAATCGCCACTAGAGACTGCTGTAATTAGTCTTTTTTATTTTTGGAACCTCATATTTCATTCACTCCGGTCCCTCTAGTATAAACCTGTGCACCACTCATTCTATTCCGGAGGACTAAGATGTCAAGCTTCAGTACCTTGTAATGCCTTATATCACCTTTCAACCGATATACATCTACAAACCATATGGATGAAATAGCTGAGACAGAAGTACTCACTATCTAAATCTAAGATTAGAACTAGGTTCTGTAATAGGTACATTTCTTTTAAAACATAATATGCATAGGTAAAATTAGGTATTTTGCATCTTTTACAGAACTCGTTCCACTAGTATCGTGTTAATAGACAGTTTATACAAAAAGATGAGTAAGAAAGCAACTTGCACCTGTTTAAAAAATCACTATCGGCTTGTTACATCGATTGCACGCTTAAAGTTTTAATTGGAAGCCCGTCGTTAATTGCGCCGTATTTATAACCCTGCTTATTAAACTATAAATCCATCCAAGAAAAATAATATATAAGTACATTCTACAAATAAAAATTGATAATCGACCATAACATATTTTTATGGAAACAAGGACCCTACGGATTACAAAAAGAATCTTCAAAATATGTTGTGCAGACAATAAGATCAGCACAAGTGATTACAAGTTTCATTAAAACCTGAAAGTAAATTGCATTTATATCATCACTGCAAATACTTCGGCAAAGACTTAATATTAAAAAAGGTATATATTTTCAGTAAATACAAAGTAGAAAATTATTCATTCAAATAAACTTAGATTTAAATACTTTTAAATAGCCATGCCTATTCTTTTAATCTCTCGTACATTCGGAATGCTGTGTTATCACTAGAAAAACGCGCAAGAAACTTGCATGTTACTCTTAAAATGTGTGAATACAAACTACCAACTAGCACTAATATTAAATCCTGTTTCGTTCGTATCAATTTCTTAATCCTGTCAACATTCGTCTTTTTTTTACTTTTATATTAAACATAAAATAATATTAATATGTTATTGCAATACTTAATTAAATTCACACGTTTTTAAACATCATATCATATGGTTTCAAAAACATACAAATACTATTACCTAAGCATATCTTATTAAGCGTCTCGTAAAACATTATACGCCTAGTACTTAAATAATAGCAAATACATATATAAGCATCACTGTTAAAAAAATTACAAGGTTCTTATAATGTAGTGTTATGCTACTATAATTTATAATATCTATATTATGTATTTATCTATTTTATATATTTTCTATAGATTGAAATCTATAGAAGACATAACATGGATATTATAAATTCTCAAATTTAATAGACATAGGTAAAATACCTATATAGGAATATTATTCAGAAAAACACCCAGCACCTAAAACTCCATCATAAAAGAATATCTTTATTGACTGATCCATCAAAGCAGGTTTTACAGTCATACGGCGGCTAAAGGCTTAGAATGTTTAATATCTTACATACCTATATTCGGATGGATACAACCATCTTCTCTGAAGGGATTTCCTGAAATTCCGACGAAAGTAAACGAAAACAACGGTTCCGCGCGGACAAAGCTCTGGTAAAAGCTAGTGGACTCTATTATTACAGAATTTAGACCTTCAATCAATCAATTTCTAAATATAATATTTACATTTATGATGACAATGATTAATGATGACAAAAACACTCTAATAATTAATACCAGCTGTCAATAATA